GGGGGGGGACGGACAGTGACCGAAGGTTTGGTCCTTTCCCTTCCCCCATATCTAGCGGGTATCTTTCTCGTTCTCAGGAGTGTGGTAAACTTTCAAGGCCAGTGAGACAACGGGTTTGAATACAGGCTGGGTGGGAGGAGAGGGCTCAGTTACACCGAGAGCCCCGCCGGGACCCCGGCCTGGACTCGCTTGTTTGCAGTCAGCGCCTGTGTTAGGCGCCTAGCGGGAGGCTCTGCGAAGGAGAATATAAATTTAACTCTGGATTCTCTCCCTGCCTTCCTCTGGGTTAGGGCGGAAGGCTCCAGAAAACAGGGGGTGCTTCACATCTGTGTGTGTTTAAGGCGCACAAGTCCATGCACATACTACACGGGTATAAGGAACAGTGGAGACCGAGGCCGAGCGGAGCTCAGGCGCCTGCAGGCTGCTGGGCGGCTGGAAAGACCTCAGGAGATGCGCCGAGAAGTCCAGTCCCTTGCTTTTATAGAGGGGGAAACTGAGGCTGGGGGCGGTGGAAGGCTTGTCCGAGTTCACACCTTTAAATGAGCGCGCTTCCATGCTGCTCAAGCTCCCCCACTAAGGTGGGTACCTCCTTTTTCCAACTCCCCAACCTCTTAGAAAGGAACCCCGTGGTCTCTGCTCCTCCCCAGGGGAAAGGGTCTGGGGCTGTGAATGTGTCCAGGCGAACGCTAGGTGTTGGTAAATTTGGGAGAAGCTGGGAAGGGAGTTAATGAGGCAAGAATGAAGGGAAGGAAAAAAGGAGAGAAAGAAAAAGCCGGAGAAAGCAGTTCTACGGCCTGCGGGAGGGAGGGGGTAGCAGCTGCTCCGCGGGCCCAGGCCGCCGCCTGGCGGCGGGAGCCGGCATTGCTCTGGCCCGGTGCGCTTTCTGTGCCCAGCCTGGGCTCCCGCCTGGGCGCCACCCGAACCCCCTAAGGGGAACGGCAGGAGAGGGACTTGGAGACCCGGCATCCTGAACAGCCCTCCCCTCACAAAGACCTTTGCCATCCCATTTATCATCCCCCCCTTCACAGACTGAGAAACTGATGCCCAGAGCAAGCCTCCGTGTCCTTGGCTCCTCATAGCCCGTGATCTCACCGGACACCGAATAGACGTAGGAGTAGAACACGAGGTGTGGACATGTGCTCACTGGGGCTGAACAACCCCATTTCATATCTCTGGGCCTTAGTCTTCTCATCTTTGAGATGGGGGCAGTACCTATCTCACAGGGTTGCTGGAAGGAGCAAATGCGATCCTGTTAGGTGAACGAGCGTTATCACAATTAGAATCACCATTGTATCCCCAGTATACAGAACGGGTCAACTGAGGCAGAGTGGGAAAAGAGAATCACCAGGGCCGCAATATAATAATTGCTTCTGCGGAGATAAGAAACCAGTTTCTGGGCTCGGAATCTCTCCTTTGGCCCGCGCGCGGCCTCCGCCCGGACCCCCTCGCCCTCTCCTTTCGGTCCCTCCCCATCTCCGTGCGTCTCCCGGCTTCTCCCTCTGCTCAGTGCCTTTCAGTCTCGGTCTCAGAGCGTCCTTCCGAACTCTCGCTGTCTCCCCGCCGCCCTCGGCCGGGCCTCTCCGGTGTCCTTGGTCCAGTCGTCCCTTTCCCGTCCCAGCCCAGGGGCACAAAGCGCCTGGGGGTCCTGCTAGGTGGCCACGCCCTCGGCCGCGCTCGGGCGGCACCTCATCCGAGCCAGGCTCTGGCTGAATCCAGGTCCGTGCCGGGCGGGAGGTGACGCTCGCGGTGCGCTCGGCCTCCCGGGGCCCGGACCCTCCCCACCCCCTTTGTAATTTGAATAAAAC